ATCTTGAGCTGCTGCGCGTTAAGAGCTTCGAGCGTGGCGAGCCGGGCGCCCCTGCGCGGACGCCTCCCTTTGTGTTGTTGCGGGCGGGAAGGCGTTTCCCTGCGGGCTACCTGGCCCGCTCTCCGTCTTCCCGGGTTGCTCGGAGCATCAGTCCCCCCCATCGCCCCCCCTCCCAGCTTGCATTTCTCTTAATTCTTCCCGAGACAAGATGGCAACGCCGGCGGCTGTTAATCCACCCGGTGAGTAGCTGCTGCTGCTGCTGCTTGCAAGTCTGCAAGGTCTTGCAAACTGGAAGGTCCGGTGGAATCGGCCAGGGTGTTTACGCACTCTCTCCCCCGCCCCCCCCCCCCGGCCCCAGCGGTCTGTCTCTGGGGGAATCTCTCGGCCCGACAGCCACCGCTCGCCCCCTCTGACTTGATTTCTAAGCTTCAGCTCCGTCGGGAGCAGCAGGTCTCGTTAGACTCAGTGGCTGTTATCACAACACGCGTACCCGTAGTTAATGGAGCTCGGGGTGCTCGTGAACCCAGCGCCTCGAGTCAGCACGGCCCGATAAGCGAACCCCACGGGTTGCATCGCGCAAGGCGCCCTGATAAGATGGGTCGTTGGCGAGTTGGTGGGTCAGCGCGTCGTAGGAGCGCAGCCGGCGGGAGCATCTCTGGCTCCAAATTCCGGCCCTGTAGAGCCTCTCCGTGCCCGGCTAGAAGGAATAGCGATCGTGCACAGAGATGGAGACCTAGCGAGCCACCTGCGCCCTTGAGGATGGCTTGCCTTCCCTTGCCTTCCCGGGCACAACTGTCTTCACTTTGCGCCGATTGACAGCTACTCGGGAGATGTCTAGCATTTTTGACACTGTGTGAGAGGCCAGAGTCGGAGTTTGGGGACTGTCTGCATGGAAAAAAATGTTAAGTAGATCCTTCCCCTTAGGATTTCCCAACTGATGAAAAACAATCCTGGCTTTTGATCCACACAGACCAGCAAGCCAGGCCTTTTGCATCTGGGCATAGATGTTAACACTTGCAGGGGCTGAAGATGGAAGCATTAGGGGTGATCTGAATGTTAGGAATCCTCATAGGAAGCACCAAATTTATCAGCAAGGTTGGAATAGTGTATAAAACATTTGCAACTAGCAGGCCGTGGTCCTTCTGCAGCTTTAGGGATACTTGTAAATAACTAGATGTGGTGTTTCAACATCGGTAAGCCTTGGAAAAACTGGCCTTTGGGGATTGCATTTTGAAATGTCCCCAAAAGCTTCCTGCTCTCTTTTAATGGAAAAAAAGTTATAGCTACTACAATTTTATTTTCACTGTTTTATTCTATTTAAATACATTTGTCTGAGATTTCACCAGACACTCAAAGGGGTCCATGGCACAAAAAAGTTAAGCACCTCTGCACTAGAGGCTTATTTTTAACAAGCTGGGTTTAAAGGAAGTTGGCTAGTTTGTAGTTTAGAAACTAGTTTATTGCTCATTGTGCAAAACCAACCCATGTGGCTGTTTTATTGTTTGCTCTGTTGCACAAACCTAGATCATTGGATTAATTCAGTTAATCCCAGTAAAGATGTTGTGTGAACTCAGGCACAGTTAATTATATTGTTATCACAATTTGCTTTATACAGAGGCTTGAAAACTTTCACAGTGATAGGCAGCCTGTATGACGGGGTGGGGGTGGGGGTGGGTGTTTTATATGAAATCTGGAGTAATGGCAGTCTATGGCATAAATTCCCTGGTTCTGACATTGCACTAAATCACAGCATCTATGGTTTAGCTGCATATTGTGTAATTTTTGGATTTATTTAGTAAACCACTATTAAGCAAACTGTAGTTTGAGTCAATTACACTGTGCTAATCTCTGCATTTTTAGTTTATTGTGGATTTGGGGAACAGGTGTGCACAGAAGAAAGTGCTGGAAACAGAGATAAAACTCGAGGGGGCAGATAGCTTTCATGTTCTTGTACTTCAGTGTCAAAGTGTTCCAACTTCCCTGAGTATACACTGAGTATTTCCTGTTGTCTCATTCTTTCGCCTTCTTTTTCAAGGTAAACCCCCTCCAGCTTTCCCTTTAATTCTAATGTGTTATGATTAGTGTTTCATAAACAAACACACATATAGTAGCATTGTAATAGCAAAAATCAAACAGCAAGTTTGATACAGTATAGTTAGAAATAAGCTGCATGGTTTGGACAGTATGATAATGTATACATTTCTTTTGAAGAGGAGGAGAAAGGCTTGGAATTATTTTTTAACAGATCTGAATAAGTTAGGGAAGTGTAACTAGATTAGTTGGAAGTCCTTTTCTACTCTCAGAAAATATTCCGCTTTTCTAAAGAAAACTTCTATGAAAACTGGAACGTACTAATTTGTACTAAGGAAGGATCTAGCTAGTCCCAATTTAGATTTTTCTCCAGACTTTTGAGGATGGGGAGCCAACCTCTGGGGTCTCATTGGTGGAACAAATATTTAAGGCTATCATTTCATGGTTTTGCTCGCTTGGAAAAAGCATAGCTATTGATTCTGATGTTGTTTACTGGCTAAAAATGTTCTGAATCTGAGAACTGCAGCCTTGCTCTGCAATGCATGCTTATATTCATGCCTGAATACACAGCAAGTCCTCCATAAGCCCACTTTGGATCAGGCTGTTAATCACAAAAATGGAACTTGGCATTTGCCCATTTTATGACCTCTATAAATCTGCTGAGGTTGAAACGGAGTCGCTTTTCTTTGTAAGAGTCAAGCTTCGTAAAAACGAGAACAAAAGGCAGCCTGGCTTAGAGATCCATTTTTAACTAGAAAGCTTTAAATATTCACATGAAAATCAGGGTTTGATGGAAGCTTAAGAAGGGAATGTGGCCCAAGTTCCTAATATTTGGCGATTTCACATCTATGTCCTTTTAGAACAGTGTTTCTCAACCTTGGCAACTTGAAGATGTGTGGACTTCAACTCCCAGAATTCCCCAGCCAGCATGGCTGGCTGGGGAATTCTGGGA